AAAGTATGTATGAATTACACAAAACTATTAATAAAGAAGAAAAGGACAGACAGGCTTGGCGTTAGTAAACCAGTGATATAAATACTCTTTCCACCAAATGAAGCAAAATAAAGATCAAAGCCTAGTCTGTGCTGAACAGCTGAGAAGGGTCTTTATTTATTAGAGAGGTCTTATTAAAGATTTAACCTTGAAGGTGGTCAACAAACATACTTCCCTTGAATGAGTTCCTAATGTTTGGTTAGATCTTGCCTCAGTCAGCTGCAGAAGGCAGCTTTACAGTTACCTCACAGCGGTTTAAAGTGAATTAATACTTGCAAAAAGAAATATTGTCATTAAGGGAAATAGTTAACACATTTGCTCAACGTATATGGGACATGACCGTGAAGTTCACAGGAATCTTTAGCTTGGCTAGGCTGAACTTGGGCCCTAACAGGGCTGAGTAATTACTGCAGCAGAATTCAATTTGTTTCTTTGTACCACTGACTTTAAATACAGAGACTCGGCCTGCTACCCCGTACTGCTTATGTACATTTGCAAGGGGAGGTTCCAAGCAGTTGAGCTCCTCATCTTCCTTTCCTTGGCTTTTGCCTCTTACATTGTACTCCTTTGGGTGCTTTTCAGATTCCTCTCCATAAGACAAATCACCTAGCAATAAAATAACCTGAGAAAGTAAAGCTTTCTGCTGGGTTAAAGAGTTAGGTCAGCTCAGCAAAGATCGCAGTGAGAAGGTGTGCAGAGGAGGAAGTGGTGAGACTGCAAGGAAGGGAGGAAAGGGAAATTAAATCTTTCCCCCTTTGATAGCAGTGAGCTGTAAGCTCAGCTTAATTCCCTGTTGAACCACAGCCCAGAGGTCAGGCTCACCAGTCAGTATTTTTCCATGCTCCACACCAGCTGCCTGCAGGATCACTGCATCATGCATATCTTATTATGAATAACTGTAGAAATTTTAATGCACCTAGCAGAAGAAACAGGGCAAACAAAATTACACAGAGGAAAAAAAATGGGACAAAATCCCCTCACCACACCCAACTTTTCAAAAGACGTCTAAAATTCTGTTCTCTGCACAGCCGAGGATGCCAATTGTCATTGCCCACATCTCTGGTGCCCAAAACAATAGCGATGTTTAAACTACAGAGACAAATGTATGGCGTTCATTCTTCTGGGGAAAAAATACCAAAAACTTACCACACTAACTAAATCTAATCTACCACACTAACAAAAAACATGGACATCATAGAAATATTTCCCATTTTGCAAAGGGGGATTACGAAGGCAATTACAGTGTATTGAAATGGACTTAATTAGTGCACCCTGTTAGAGCCATAAATGAAAATGTTGAAATCAAACTATTTTATGCTTTAAAAAACAAAACACTTACAAGGATAGTACAAATTACTTTTAAATAAGCCATGCTTAAAATTAGTTGGTTTCTCAAATTGAATTGTTTATGGTGTATTCAGTTTCTTACTAAATAAAGCTAGAAATAAGCTCTTAAATGGGAAATTAATCCTAGCATGACTTTTAGAAGAGAGGTCTTTATGTCTCAATTTAAAAAATTCTTACTAGACTGAATGACATGTTTTCCCTTTACGAAAGAACTAAGAAGATAAATGTTGCTGTTTCAATTGAGATTAAAGCATTAATTTTAACAATCTGCCAACTTCACTCCCTTCGCTACATCTTCTTTTGGATTATTTCCAAATATTTATTTTTTTTAAATCTATTGATTTAAAGATGTTGTCAGCTATTTTAAGGTTGAAATCACTTTAAATCTATTTTTATACCAAGATCTAATTTCTTGTATAGATCTATATCTTCCTTAAGGACAAAGGAGAAGGAAATAAATTTAGATCACGAAAGAATGACAGCCGTTAGCATTTTCTTTCAGAAATCTGATGCGTTATTTATTAAGTCAATACAAATTCTGTCATTGATTTCAAATGAGTTACTACTGGAGTCTCTGTTCATCTGTAAGAAATTAATATAGAATCAGTGAAACAAAGCACTACTTTGCTTAGTATGGGTCTAAATAGCTCCTGAAAAATAAAAATAAGAAGAACTGATAAAAACACAATGAAACTTCTCCAGTTTAATATAAAGTTCCCAGATATACCCTAGCTTATGGTGCATAGCATTTATTGGGTTTTTTTATATACAATGTTTTAATGAAAGGACAGTATTACTTAATTAAGCTCTAATTTACTGATATCTAACAAATAACCTCTAGGGGAAAAAACATACATTGATAACTACTCTAAACAGAACTCACAGAAACATGGAAGTTCAGAGCAGTGTAAGCTGAAACGTACATAAGAAGGAGCCTCAGGAAATCAGGAAGCCAGGCACTGGTTTACAACCAGCACAAATGAAAAGTTTCAGATCCCATTTTTTTGGTCAGGAAATTTACTGTTTTCAGTAAATAATGGTTTATATGTTGATTTTACTTCTCAGAAATAATGCCCATGCTGCTTTGTTCATTCTAGTTCAATATGCCTGAGATGACATTTAAAACCTGTCAGACTGCTACAAAAGTGTTATTTACCCATATTGTGCTAGGTTTCAAGTGCTGAGATTTAAACTACCATAAAATCTGCATAAATATAGGGTCCAATTCTTTTGATACACATTCTTTGTCAGCACAAGGATTCAGTGAAAGACAAGACTCAAATGTGCTTTATTTAGATTTCTAAATCTTTCTTTTGCAGGAGATTTGAGACAATATAGTGGGGGAAAAAAGGGAAGCAGTTTTGATACAATTCTTGCTATTCTTTGTTATCAATTCAATTTTAAAAACAGAGCAGAATTAAAATTCAAATTATCCTTCAAGATATTTTATATATATTTCATTAATTAAACACCTCCTGCTCAACTGAATTATGTAACTCAGCTTTAACAACAATATATGAGGAGGTTTGGTAAATAGAATGGTTTAAGAAAAGCATAAACCTGTGCTTCGTATTTTTTCAGAAACTCATCTGCTATTTTGGGGACAAAAATAAACTTTCCTATTCAAAAATAGCCTTCAAGAGCCAACATAGCAAATGAGTGAAGCACAAGAATGCAAAGGATTTCAGCTTGTCAACAGATGAAATTTAAGTGAAAAACCCATCCCCCAGAACAGGGTTCTCAATACCGCTGTGACTAGGCTTGCAGCACACCTCTCACTGCGGCAGGATTATAGGAATGTTTCCAAAAGCCAGATTACAAGGGAAAAAAGGAAAGTCATGCAGGGCATTAGGGAATTTGCAGTTCATTTTAAATGTGATACTTAGAGAATGTCACATCACTGCACCCCTTGATAAGGAAGGGTCAAAGTCCAACTACTCATCTGCTCCCCAGTCTCAGTGTCCAAGGAAATGGGAGTTTGTTAGAAAAGTGAGGAGAGTGCAATGAGGTGGAGTTTGCAAAGACTGTAGCTCATGTTGTTGCAGAGAAACCTTCAAGGCACAAGGCAAAGCATGACCCAGCCATAACCAAATGCAGCAAGATCTGCTTAATGCACTAATTTAGATGCCAAAGCTATTAACAGTAAAAATTTTGGCTTCAGAAATATTTCAGGGAAAGATGTGAAAGTTTCTTCTAAGGAAGGTCTAATGAAGCCATGTGTCCAAACAGAAATGGAAAACAAGGGAAACATGGAAGGCATTGGATAGGCCTTTAAAAACATTGGATGAAAACAAAGGGGACCAAAGGAGTAAAATGCACTTGGTTCATTGTTAGGGACCCAGCATTACTGCCAGCATAGGTTAACTATAATTAGAACTATGTGTTAAAAATTAATCCAACACATATAACTCCACATTCATAATGCTACGTCCTTATCATTTCCATGGTATTTAAGCACTTAATTTCTTTAAGAGTTCTTTTAAGATTTCTAATGCAGTAACATCAAATACAAAAAGCCCCTACACTTATATTTCCTCATACAGCTGGATGCCTAAAAAACTATGTTGTCTTCCAGTCTAGAGACAAACGTATGCAGTCAGTCAGATGGTGAAGCTCAGTTTCACCCTAGAGGAAGGATTAATGGATCTGATAAACTCATTCTCTAAGAAGCAAAAAAGCTGCTTCCAGACTGTCACTGAATTTGCAGTGATGGACAGTTGCATGATATAAGGTAGCACCGGCTGTTACTGGCTACTAAATTACTTAGCTGTATCAGCTGCCACACATGGGATGCCACAACAGTGAAAATTGAAATGTCTGGGATGCAGAACAGGCATAATTACTTGAGCATCAGGACTTGATCGGGCTACAGAGCGAGTCACCACCACCACCACATTATATAGGAGTTAGAATTCTGTGTGCTTATCACTACTAAGTAAGCAAGACATATTTTTTCTTACAGACAGTTATTAGAAGATTTAGGATTTAATAGTGAGCAAACCTGCAGACTAAAATGACCATCAAAATTAAGATAGGGCTTTTTGCATATGACTGCATGGCAAAGACAATTTTGTCCTTTGGAAATGACAGCATGAAGATCAAAAGTATAAGGAAAAGTAACAATATCAGAGGTCTTCAAAGCAAAATAATATTTTCTTTACTTGGATCTTTAGTGGCATTTCCCAGTGTAAGGTTGTTCCCAGATGCAAGCAGCTGCTACACACACATTTGTCCAGGAAACACATGGTTAGAAATATACACTCCTAATTTTAGTGAAGATGAATATTTTAAGGACATCCTGAGTGAAATCAGAATACAAATGTTAAAACTAGCTTCTGTTCAGCCATATACAATGTGACAAGCAGTTGCTTACTCTGGGACTGCAGAGGAAGCTTTTAAGACCGTGCATATTGCAGTGTTTGCTTTGCTGATACTTTGCAAAATTCTGGTTATATGCCTTAGCTCAAACACTGGAGGGTGGGCAAGGGAATGCTAGCTCTTTTATCTGTTATCCGCAGCTTTTAATCTAGATTAAACCAAGCTAGTAAGCAGGAACTTCAGATGAGCATGGAGCCAGGAAACAAGAACATGAAATGAATAGAGATTCAACTTACAATTAAATCTTGAATAAGTGAAATAGAAAGTATCCTCTTGACACCATTTTCCACAATTACTCCAAGCCAATTAAGTGCACCCCAGTGCCACAGATAACTCTGTCCTCCGTGCCAATAGCTTACGAAGGCAAAAGTAAGGGCTGTGGAAAAGAGCGTTCCTAGCAGACTGGAATGAGATCCTCCCATTGGAACATAAATGTACCTGTAGGTGAAATGACAGATAAGCAACATTATTAGAGATTTCACAGAAGTCTCAGAAAAACATCCACTACAGAACAAATTTGTTATTTTGTGGCATTAAAAAAGAATTTGAATAATTACCTGACATTGTCTATTTACAGACCTTGCCCTAGTTTCTGCAAAGCTGTAGACCACTTCATGAAATATGCACATACAACATTTGGCAAAAAGACAATTTTGTGGTGACAGGAACTCTGCATTAGGCAAATGTATAGCATAAACTCTATTCTCAAAATTGCAAAAGGCAAATGTTCAGCTTTTTTAAACTGCAGCAGTTGCGAGTCAACTTAAATACACAGAAACTACATGTACTCTTCATGTGAATTTAAATTATAAGACTCAAAAAAAATTTAGAACCCTATATAAAGTCATATATAGTCATAATCAATGTTTTCCGTTTGTCAGAAATGAAGACACATGCAAATATGTTTTATTTTTAAAAGCTTGTAATTTCTTTCTTTTCAAATCTTTCATTAAAATTATATGAACTGAAAATATTTCCTATCTAGTTTTCATATTATATGCTCAGTATCATGTCTGCCTAATGACCTTCAGAGCACATGTACCAAAAAACCCCTCAAAACCTGCATGAAGCACTCTGCATGCAATTATAGTCTGTATTTAAACTGAATCCAGGAGTCAGAACCTTAGTCTTTAATTGATGCTTATAAGTGTCCAGAAAGCAGTGCTCATTCAGTAAAAATACCAGAAGCAACAGGATTCTGAAAGCTGACACTGTTTTCTGTGTCACTTCACTTCCTTCCTGCCTAGAGCGCCACATCCACTCCCGGCATTTTCCAAGTCAGGCATGGCCACTGCCCAGCCTTTGTCTGAAAAAGTTGCCTATTTCTGTCAACACTTTGAAGAAGCTCATCAGGCAACAGAGTCACCATCCAGCTCACGGGTACTGGCGAGGAGATGTGGTAGATAAGAACTGCTGGTGACCATTCTCCTCAGCCATCGACATGACGCGCTGTACTTATATTTGAGACTATTCCTACTTACTAAGATAATTAAAGGATTTTTTTTGCAGTGAAATTTTTATCAATTATTACATTCAGAGATAAATAGTAGCCTAAAAATTTAAAAAGGAAATTACTTCCTAATCTTAGGAAGTAAGAAAATACCATAATGGGGTTAAAAAAAAGTTATGAGCGTAATTAAAAGGTAAACAGAAAAGTCATTAAAAAAACAACTGTCATGCTCCAAATTCTCTCTAAGCATAACATCAATACACCTTTTTACTTCAACCTGCTACAGGGAACATCTGACTACATTTATAGTGATTTTCAGTATCAGTGTGCTTTTTACTAAGCATATGAAAATAAATAGAAATTAAGATCAATAATTTTTATTTATGTTGTGTTTTTCTTCTTTCCCCCCTTCCTCTGTTTTTCTTGGGTCTAGTCTTATCACATATATAAAGAAACAGCGTAGCAATAATAGACACTTGCAATTGCAATCAATCAGTCTAATAGCAGAGAGGTACATCAGCAGACTGTAACCAGGCGGATGCCCTGCAGGGCTCTGGCATGGAGGGCGAAGACAGCAGAGCCACAGATCCCACTGCTTTGGACAAATTCCGTCTACACAAAAAACTACAGAAATGAAAGACCAAATGAAAGAGTCATCCCCTCTTATGACATGCTTTCCCAGCACTTTCCCTCTCCCTTTTTCATAGAAGAGAATCATAGAACAATTCGGGTTGGAAGGGACCTTAAAGATCACCTAGTTCCAACCCCCCGGCCAGGAGCAGGGACACCTTCCACTAGATCAGGTTGCTCAAAGCCCCATCCAGCCTGGCCTTGAACACCCCCAAGGATGGGGCATCCACAACTTCCCTGAGCCACCTGTTCCAGTGCCTCACCACCCTCATGGTTAAAATTTTCTTCCTAATATCTATTCTAAATCTACCCTCTTCCAGTTTTTAAAGGCTGGATATTTTATTTTCCAGGCAGGGCCCATGGCCATTAGCAGTTCCCCTCACAGGCTGCCTGGAGGAGGGCTGGCAGCCCCACTCTGCAGCTGAGAAACCTCAACCCTGAGAGCAACACCTTGGTGCCCCTGCGAGCACGGCAGAACCTTGTTGTGCAGACCTTCATCCCAAAGAGCCTGAAACAGGACACTGCCAGCCCTGCCGCTCTCAGCAAAGCTCACTCTCTATCGTACATTTACTGCAACACAGCACTTAAAAGTAACCCAGATGCCACTGAAGAGACATCTCTCTATGATGAAGACCTTGCTCTAAGCCCCAAGGAACCCTTTCTGCTGACCTCACAGGGTCCTGGGTTAAATCTATGGCACAAAAGGTAGCTTTTACTGCAGAAGTAGCTCTGGGTTTCCATGCAGTCCCTTTCCCTGCACCGAGACAGAGCTGTTGTGTAGGCACCAGCCATCTCGGCTGCACTGGCAGCCTCTACTAGCACTGGCATTGCCAGGAACGGCCCGGCAGCACCGACTTGTGCATCTGCAGCCCAGTTTGGGTCGGTCTGAACAGCTTTCAGATCACTATGCAGACCAAAAGAGGCTCTTTTCTGATTTTTGGTGTTTAACAACAGCAGCTAGCTAATTGAGCACCAATAACTCATAATTCTGATGAATGTTCAAGGTCAGCAAAGTTTTAGCTCCTAGTAAGGCCCACAGCAACTGTGCAACTGAAAATTCACTTGCGCCATCTTTGTGAAGACCTGTCTGAAGAGAGCCTGCCTCCTGGCCCAGAGGAGAAATGCAAAGCAGAAAGCAACGCCTCTCTCCTTCCCTGACAGCTATCATAAGAAAACAGAACAAAGGCAGCTGCCATTTTTTGTCACAAGGCCACTAACCACCCTCAGACCACATGGTCTTGCCTTCCCTTGTCGGGGCATTCCCACTGGCAATTTTAAAGTAGGTATAAAGGACTGATGGATGTTGAGTCATTTCTCTCAAGCAGCATGACAAGAAATACTGTATGTTCTTGTGCTTTTTATGCAGAAGAATTCATGAAAAATCCATTATTACATTACAGAACATATCAGGAAAAAAAAAATACTTGCTACCTCATCATGTTCCCGCTGTGTTCTTGTGCTTACACTTTTACATTGGCAGGCCCACGTACAAGCAATGGGCAACTCTGCACGCGGCCGGGGCTAGGCCCTGCGCTCCATGCCGGCCAGTTTGTGTTCTCTGATACAGCCAAAATCGTCTCTCAAAGAACCACCACAAGAGCCCTTGTTGTTACAAAAATGCATTTTGCTTATTTTTGAGCACCGTGGTAGTTTAGAATCTAATTTCTCAATACATTCCCTGTGTGTTTACACAGAAAATTATTCATTTGATTACAGAAAGCTACATTTACACTAAAGTGTGAGGGAGAATGAACCAGTGAATAGTATTATTAAGCCAGAAGATAGAAGAAACAAGTTACTTCTGTATTATCATTTATGACACAACACAGACTTTGAAACTAACAATTTGTTGTGGTTTAAACCCAGCCAGCAGCTAAGCCCCACACAGCCCCTTGCTCACCCCCACCTGGTGGGATGGGGAAGAAAAGGAGCTTCCTACAGTACATTAGGAAAACCTTTCTGTCCTCCAGTTCACCAACAAAATCTGTGAGGAGAGAAGGAAGAATGCAAGGAGAGAGAGAAATTAAGGGGCAACAGCTACTACAACTCAATGTCTTATATATCTGCATACTTCCCAACTTTTTTCCTTCTTACCAATACTGCTGTCTACCTTCCATCTATCCTACAGTCCTTCTGTCCTGCCATTAGAAACTCAAGGTTTACACAGAGAGGTTGCTGTAGAGCACACCGATCTGCTGCACCACGTGCAGAACAGCACTACATAAATATCTCATTTTAAGCATCCATGCAGTTTTTAAGACTATTTCTATCTCTAATCACAGAAAATCCACAGAGACGCTCAAAACCCTCAGTTCAGAGACTATTAGCACATAAAAGTAATCATAGTTCTTCATGGCAGACTAACACAACTCAAAGGAACACCCTTGTAGCAGAATTTCTTACCAGCTCATAAGCAGATTACACTTTTACTGTAGATATGCAAGGAAGGCAGACTTAGCTGAAAAACATGGTGCCAATGTGCTATAACTTCATCTTAATTCACATAGTTACAGAAAAAGAAAACTCAACAGTTCTTTGGTGGTCAATGAGCCAAAGACAGATAAATGAAGGAAAGCAACAAAGAATTTTGCAAAGAGAAAATGATGTTAAGGCAAGCTGATTTGAGGATGGTAATTGGTCATGTCCCTCCAGGTTATTTTACAGGGTTGGGCAATGCTGGTCCCCCTTAAGATCCATGAAAATTACAGACGGGAAGATTAGACTGGTAGAAGATGCTTAGTATCAAAAAAATACAGGCTAGGCGAGAATTTAAAAATAAAATATCAACTTAAGGGATCAAAAGACAATCCCCACCAAAACTTTAAAGGTGAAATTTGAAGGTGAAAGAACAGAGAGGCTGTCAGAGGAACTCGTGAATGCCACAGATCAGGCTCTGCCAACCATTCCTAGACTGGCTAGAACTCTCTTAATGACAACAACGAAAGGCCCTTCACCTTGTCAGAAGAAAAAGTTGTGCATACTAGATGGAGAGAAGAGGAAGAGAACTCTGTGTAGATTAAATATCTCAAAACATCTGGGGGGCATTTGAGGCACATAACTACAAATAAATATTGAGAGAATGCTATAAAGTAAGAACTATTTGAACATGCAGCTGACATGACTAAACACACATTCTTAGCCTTCCCCTCCCAAGGCAAAGATGCCGTCAGTCCCTACCATATTTCCAGAAGACTCTTTTGATTTCAAACTAAAACTTACATGCTATTAAACTCGCCACTTTCACAAACAAAGCTTAACTCTGTATGTGTCTTCTGAATAACCAAGTGCCTTACTCTTAGTCTCACTTACAGTAGCTTAAATCATCTTATCTACAGCCAGGAAGCTGTTCCATTTACAC